TATCCTAATCAAATATTAAAAATTAAAAATAGTGGTTTTTTAGGAGTCTAAACAAAAAGTCCATAAAACAAAAAGATGAACCCACCAACCTAAATATATATTTTATTTTCAAAAAAGAGAACTTATAAATTCTTAATCGTAGGCATGAAACTCTAAAGAAAATAAAGCATCCAACTATTCCACTGATTTGATTGGTTTGGTTTATTTGACTAACTATAGTATTGGTTGGTTCTATTTGAATTAACATTCCATTTAGATTGGTTTAGTCAAAATTTTAGTTAGGTTTTAATTTGATGAAAAAGAATGATCAGTTCAGTTGATTCGATTTCTTAAAGTTAACAATTTTAAAAAATATCAAATGGACCGTTAAAATAATCTGCTTATACATCTAACGAATCCAATTCCATTATTCCTTAACGTAACAAAATCTTATCAATAGTATATAGTAGGTAGAGGAAGGTTGATTTGATATATATATATATATATATATATATATGTGCCTTTATTCATTCATACTGACCATGACCCAACCACATAATTTGATGAGTTGTTGTTGCATCATATGTGACAATAATTAACAAACAATTATATTTCAATTGGTCATTATGCTTATAGCTCATAATTTTATTCAATTTAATGTATTTCATTTGCCTTGCAATAATTTATATATCTATAAAACAAGTGTTATAATTTTTATTTTTGCAAGGGAAATAAAACGTGTGTTATAATTGAAGGGGAAGTCTTCTTTTTTAAATTATTATATTGGATCCATTAAGAGTTGATTGCATGATTACAATCTCCAATTATAATTGATTTGATGACTTAAAACTGATAGTGATAGTAAAAAGTAAATTCATCGCTCATAACTTTGGATGAATTATATGACAATAATTTATTGTTTCCGTTAGTTTAGAAATGTTTAGAAATTGTTTTTAAAATAGTTTTATGTGGTAAGAATGCAAGTTTAACGTAAAATATTATAATAATGCAATATATATATGTTTTTTAATAGAATAATTTTTCATTAAAATAAAGAAGATACAGCCGCTTGAACTACGTGCAGATTATTATCCTCTGTTACTTTATTGATTGGTGAGATGAGAAATTCATAAATTAAAAATTTACTTGAGGAGTAAAATCTTTAGATATTAGCTTCGGTAGTTTTTCAAATGTATGTTTGTTAAGAATGAAAAGAGAGTTAGAATAATCAGGGATTATATATGTCCTGGAAATTTTTAAAATGAGGAAAGAAGTTCAACAATTCTCTCCATTTATTTATTATTATTTTTATATAAAAAACGTACAAAACAATTGGGCCAAACCTCCCGACTTCAAGAACAAAATGGGTCGGGCCGAGCCTTGTACATTATTCAAGCCCATCATGAAAATCGTTTTTCGTCAAAGAAATATAGAATTTCAAAACAAAATAATTGTAAATATACTATTATTATTAAAATTTGTTAATCTATGTATTGATTAACTATAATCCTAATATATCATTAATTATGTTTGATCAAGAAATGACCAATTCTCCAAACTTCGGATCGGCTGGGACGAGCTAGACAGAGAGCTTCGAATGCCAAAGAGAGGATCTGCAAAACAGAGTAGATATTCCGATACTAAAGTCAGTAGGCGTCCAAGTCAACTCGAGAGAGAATTGGTTTGATCGCGTACCTTGAAATGAAGTGGAATGGTCCTATTTATAGGCGAGGTCCCCGACAAGGTTCCCGACAAGACCTAAACGGCTCTTTAAGGTTGCCGTGAAGAGCGGCGTGATGTCGTGGAGTTTGTCGGAGAACGGGCGGAGCCGAAGTGGTCTAAGTAACGTGTTTGGTCGGGTCGGCCGTGTAAAGGATCGGCTCAGCATGAGACGTCATGACCGAGGCAACAACACGGGCAAGGAGGTGACACGTACTACTGAGGATCCAACCATTGCACGCCATGTGTAAGCATAAGATTCACCTCCAACAAATTATTTATCGGATTAATTTTAGATTATATTACAAATTAGTCTCTAAACTTTTAGAGTTATATCTTAAATTTTGTGTCCAATAGGTCCTTGAATTTTCAAGTTTGTGTCAAATAGATCACTGTCGCTGACTCCGTCAAACTTCATTAGTTTGATGCTGATGCAATCCGTTTACTATACTATTTAAATATTAAGTGGCATTATGTGTCAAATGATAAAACTTACCTATGAGATAAATTTAGTCGGATCTAAAATTGGGGCAAGTTTAAAATCGGAGAAATTCTTCTTGAGTACAATAAACTAGTGGTATGAGTATCACTACAAGAAAAAAAGCGTTGGGAATGATTTCTCCGGACGAAAAATTTTCTTCAGAAAAATTGTCAGCCTATATGCATCGGGAGATCGGGAGACGTGGACTTTTTCCAACTACCGCTGAGTTATGTAAACTTTTATATTACCAATTATCTCAAGAGAAAGAATCACTACAACAAATTCGGCTTTTCATGACGGGCATTGCCCGTCATTAACGAGTAACCATGTCGGTCAGTGACCGACATCTAGATGAGTTTCCTTGTTTCCTTTCAATGACGGACAGTTTTAATGTCGGACATTGCCCGTCATGTAAATCTTCTTTTCCATGATGGACATGTCCGTCATGGAAGGATAACAATGACGGACATGCCCGTCCGACATTAAAACCAAGATTTGTTGTAGTGAATATATTACCAATTACCTCTAAGTTATATTCCTGCTGGCATTGAAGTTTATAGTAAACTTTTATGAATTTGAGTGGGAAATGGAGGAAAGAGAATGGGGATGAATTTAGGATATACCTTCGGAAATACAGAGGAAAATGCTACAAAGTTTGGAAAATGGGTGTGGATTTAAAATAGAGCACATTCTTTCTATCACCCCTTGGCTGCTCACTGCTGTGGATGAAGGTACGTAACAAACCCACCCCAATTCCCCAAAATTTCTTAAAATTTATCCTAGAACCCGCGGCAAATCTAACTTGCCGAGGTCCCATTAAAATTGTTCTATGGGGTAAGTTTTATTTGACACGTCATAACCAGGTCATCTTTAAATAGTACAATCAACTACGTAAGTACTAAATTAATAGAGTTAACCGTAGGATCTATTTGACATAAAATTAAAAGTTCAAAGACCTGACATTTTCTTTTAAGTTTAGAGAACTATTTGACATAACACTTAAAGTTTAGAGACTAAATTTGTAATTTAATCTTAATTTTAATATAATAATCATCGATTTACTTGTTCCAAATTTTGCTAGCTTTATTATGGCATCTAAATATGCTTGATTTACAACTATCCAATAATTTTCAACATGACTTGAAAGTATGAGTTGAGTTTTGACTCTTTATCCAACAAAATATCTTATTCATTCTCTTGAAGTTAGAAGTCCAAATCTCCAGCTAAAAAAGTTTTGATTATTAAATTTAATTTCTATCCTTCCTAACAAACAAGATGATACAAGATGATGAGGTCGGTTGGAAGTGACTTTTTAGTTTACACGTGTCACCTTATCATTAGATATTAAGGGTTACATGTGGGTTGTGATGATAAGTCAAAGTTTCATCAACTCAGTTTTTTCCTGCGATCAAGTCGATCCAACGAGGCCGAGCCAACCAGGCTACTTGAAAGCTCGTTCCCATTTGCTAGTTGAACCGATTAGCTTTGCCTCGGTTCAACCCCATTCTCTGACAGACTCCACGATAACACGCCGTAATTCACGATAACCTTAAAGAGCTGTTGAGGCTTTGTCGGAAATACGGTCGGGGATCTCGCCTAAAAGTAAAACTCATTTGCTCCATTTTAAGATACGCAAATACTAAATTCTCTCTCGAGTTTAGTTCGACCAACTACTGACTTTAGCATCAGAGTGTGTTCTATTCTGCAAGTCACATATCCAGTTCATTTCCAACTCATCCATCGAGTTACTCCCCGTCCAAACCGAGATTCGCGATGATTTCATGATCAAACAATGTGATTGATTGTCCCTCCCAAAAGGTAGAAAATCACAAAGCCAATTAACTATAAAAAATTGAATGCTACCAAATGCAAGGTGCTTGTTGGTGATTGATTTGAGTCCAAACAAGTCCTCCAAATCCCCTTGTCAAATCCTTCAAAAAGTAGCCAACTCTTAACTATATACATAAGAGAGAGAAAGATTATTGCTTAAGGCAATATGTAGTGGTTGCCAAAGTCAAAGTTTGTGCATTGTCATTTCATGCAAATAGCTCAAGAAGAGAATCCATCTTAGTGGGACATTTTCTTTTTCATTTCTTTTGTCACGAGTCAATCTTGGTCCTTTTTTATTTATACACACAATTCCTATGTTGATATACCAAACAACTAATACAAATAATGCCCTTTTGCATTCCATATCATGCCATCGTAGTCCCTAGACTAGAATTTCATGAGGTTTCTGTCGAATCAAGTAGTTTAAATAGAACAAAATTAATTCATTGGGCAAGAGTATCTTTTAGACTTCCATATTAGAAATATAGCATAGTTAACAATTATAAAATACAATTTGAGTACAGTTTAATAATAAATGACATTTACCCTTCCATTAAAGGTTGTAAGTTCAAATTCTCGTTCTCCACATTTATCGTGTTAAAAAAAGTTACATTCCCACTAGACCATACCACATGTACTTTCTATATCTCCGATTCTAAATTTACCGTAGTCTAAGATTGTGTCTTGGATAAATAGTCTACCTGGCACCTTTGCACCCTTTTTTTTTAATTTGATATGAAATTTAAAAAAATGAAATTTGATAGTTGTAAATCCATCAGAGGCCAAAAAGAAAAAAAATGGGGCTAAATACCTCATAATTAGAGGGAATTTGTGATGGTTAAAATTTATGAATGATTTTTAAAAAGAGGGAAATTCTCCAAAATAGGAAGAAAACAAACTCGAAGGGGATAAACAGATAGCTGTGTGTCATGAAACCAGAGCGACCAATCAACAGCAAAGATTCTGAGTGGAAGAGAGACGACTCATAACAATGAAGCAAACTATGAAACCGATCTCTAGCCCTAATCGGACCGATTACTTCCCGCCGCCATTGATGAACTTTTTGAAGGCCGATGTTGGAAGCCGGAGTAGAAGCGGCAGGTCGCGTTCCAGCCCTATGTTCGTCAGGAAGAAGAACGTCGTCGCCATTGAAACTCAAGAGCCGTCTTCTCCCAAGGTTACCTGTATGGGCCAAGTCCGAGCCAGACGCTCTTCCGCCCAAAGCGCCGCCAGATGCCGCTGGATTCGAACCGTATTGGCTTTCAATCGACGCCATTGTCGAACCTTGTGGAACGGGTGGAAGGTGCTGATGTTCGGAAGAAATCGTGAAAGCAGACGAAAATCATCGATCTCGATCTCTCAATCTCGCGTTGGAAATGAAGCGGAAGATTCGAAGGAGGAAGATGAAGAAAGAGGCGAAGGAGCGAGAGATGCGGCGTTCGCGTCCTCGATTCCATCGCCGCCGAAGAACGCTCTCATTCTGACGAGGTGTAGATCTGCGCCGCAACGGTCGTCGGTTTCCGGCTATGGATACCGGAGTTCGCCGGCGAGAAGCGACGGTACTGGAGAAGAGCGGAGAACAGAGCGCGATGGTGGAAACAGAGCCACGTCCCAAATTGAGTCTGAAAACTCAATCGGAGAAGGAATTTCTAACTCTGTAAATAGCAAAGAAAGCAAAATCGATGAAGAAAAAGTAGGCGGCTCTTCGCGGCGGTTGAATCTGAAGAGGTGTAAATCGGAACCTGGTAGAATTGCAGAGAAACTTTACGGAGAATTGAATCTCCGGGAAGAAGGAAGTTCGTCGGGTATGGTAACGAACGATTCTTGCTTGCCTAACAACAAGCGATTAAACGATTGAATCTCTTCCAGATTTTTCGTGTTTCCTCTGTAAATTTTGAAACTGTTCTTCTGCATTTCGCGGGTGAGGAAATGGAGAATTTCTGTGGCTAAATAGAAGATCAGGGAGAGCCTCTGCTTAGTGGTAACTGGTAAGATAGTTTTTCCATGAAAGTGCATTAAATTTTAGTAATTGTAATTAAATTATTAGGAAAATAGATATGCAACACTTTTTTTTAAACGACAAAATTTCATATATACCTTATCTTAAAAAATTTAGATTAAATAGAGTGAGATAACCATTTAACATGTAAGATTTTTTAATTTCACCTTTACCTTTTTGTTGAAACTAACAAAGTTGAGTTAATTTATGTTTGGAATTTTGTTTTTTTTTTTTAACTCAATGATTCATTAATTAGAAAGGAGATGTCATCGGAGCTCTACACGTACACAAAAAAAAAAAAAATTGCTCTATGATCATATTCATGGACTATGGATGAAATTTAATTAGAAAGCCACAACATTGATGAATTGGAAACTTAACCAACTTCTGAACAATATTGTTAGTCTTTGCCGACATAAGAAAAAGATTTAGATTTATCAATTCTACTCGTTGTTTCCATGACGAAAAACTTGACTTTAAAATTAGATTGGTCTCCTCTACAATAGAATTATATTATTATCTTTTAATCAAGTAACAGCGACACATTACCTTATAAGTTGTAATTGGCATTACCTTTGATCAAATTTGCCATTTACTCTTTGTAACAATTGTTTGAATTTATTTGACTATTAGTAAGGTGTGCTTGAATTCTAATCAATATAAAATATATACAAATTTTATTGTAAAATTTTATTTTTTGTTATAATATGTCGTAGGTAGTGATGCTTTTAAAAAACTATTGTATATACAAGTATGATATTTAAAAGGATTGGAGGGAATCCAATCTTTTGAATTCTTTTTTTTTTTTTTTTTGCCAATATATACAATTACGGTTTTAAAAATATGGCATTGAATAGGAACAATAGTTAAAAATTACTTCGATATGGTCACAACTATCCGTTAGAGAAATTCATGATTTCATAGGGTTGGCGATATTTCATTTTTATTCCTAAATAGATAAGTGCTGAAAGAATGATTAGTAATCCATTTTTTATTTGGAATTAATTGTTGTAGTTTTTTATGTCTTGAATATTCTATTAGAAAAATTTGTTAACATAGATTAAAGCTTATAAAATGTTACCTATTAAAGTTGGAAGTAGGATATTCAATATATAATTACCTCATTTAAAAAAAAAAAACTCTTAAAAGGTAAAGAAAGTACCATTTTGGTCATTGAGTTTTTGCTTATAGGTCAGGTTGGTCCTTGTATTCCAAGATTGTGAACTTTTGATCCATGAATTTCTAGAATAAGTTTAAACGATCCCTCAACTGAGGTCGATATTAGATGTTTCACGAAAAAGATGATTGGATTGATGTGACATATTCGAGTTCGGAATATATCTTTCATTATGTAGATATTCACCTCACGTTGTGTAAATCATATAAGGTGATATAATACATGGAGAACGATATTAGAAACCCTAATATGTCAACATGTAATGTAACAAAAGTAAGCATAATGTTACAATCCATGTGGATGCATTAGAGTTTCTGATTGCGATTTTCATTTATCAGATCGTACTACATGATGAACATAATATTGGGTGAATATCCACGTAATAAATGATATATTTCAAAATTTGATATGTGTGACATAAGTCCAATCATCTTTTTCGTGAGATATCTAACGACAGCGTCAATGCTAGGGAAAATTTAAACCAATTACATCTAACCTAAGAATGAAAAGTGCACAATTTTAAAGCATAAACACCGGAATGACCTATAGGCGAAATCTTCGAGCCAAAGCCAAAAGCCTCACTTTTCCCTAAATTTTATTTATTTATTTTATCCCCCAAAATCTTGCTAAATTTATATATCAAAATATGAGGAAGCAGGTGGATCCAGGCTTAAATGTAGGCAATAAAAAGCATATTGCCCAGCTGGTAAGAACGTGTCGCCATCTCATTGGCTACACGAGTTGGCCATCCACGTGTCCTGTCCTGCTTGCCACTAGTCTAGACTTCAAATATTGAGGCGAGTTTCCTGTTTTCTTTCTAAAATTTAAATGATACTTTTATAAGATCAAAATAAAAATTATATTTTGATATTTCATTTCGTAAATTGTATTCAGTTCCCTCCACCTCCACGTATTTAAGAATTTCATATTGTATTATATTTTGTTTACCTCTCTTTCCAAAGATTTATTGCGGAGGTTTCGTAAAAAAAAACAAAACAATAAAAAATAAAAATTTATTGTGGAGGGTAAAAATTAAAATTTTTTCACTATAAATAATTCTAAATAATTTAGAGATATATTCTAAATTGGAACACAAAGATAATTATAAATAATCTTAACAATTAATGAAAACATAGTTTAATGAAAGCATAGTTTATTAGATAAGGGAGCGATTATCTTTTTTTTTTTTTTATATATTGAATGTTCCATTCTATGCCTCCACAATTTTTTACCATTAGAAAATATACATAATAAGTATTGAAACAAAAATAGGTATAAGATGGTACAGGAAGACAATTAGGATACATAAATGGAAAAAAAAGGAATAGAGTGGTAAATTTCTCCCCTCACACCCCACCGCACTTGTGGACCCATCATTACCATCTTTGTCGATATATAATACATACATACATTATCAATTGCATCTATATTTCAGGTGTCTTTTCTATAATAAAAAGAAAATTTAACCTTCCATTGGTAAAACGAATCAAACATAATGTTGATGGAGAAATTTGGTCTCTTGGAATTCTGTCAAATTCACACCAATCCTCTAAAATAAAAGGGATCGATGAGACCTGCAAAACAAAATAGCACTAAGATCGGTGTGATTCTTGCCACACGAGCTCCGATGCTTAAGTAGGATCAGAGTAGTTGAGTATAAAATGTAGGGTATTGTGAGCATCACCCTAGGGTTTGGCTTACCAGTCGAACCATAATCCCTTTAGAAATTAACAAAGTTGAATCCTAATGTATCTAGGAGATCTGGACTTCTGGACCTATGTGTTTCGTAATTGGCCCAATGTCGAATCTAGGGTCGAGACAAAGTAAATTCGGATCAAGCCGTACGGAAGTCAGGAGAGAACCCTCGAAGTTTTTGGTCGGGGGGCCGAGAAGGTCTCGGCATCGAGGCTTGGTCGACTATGGGTCGGTCCGGTCGCTAGATTTCAGCTTCCTTATCTGGTGAGCCTCCTCCTCATCTGGCCCAACTTTTTTTATTTTATTTAATCTTCCTGTTATCAATACCATTTGACTAGTGAGCAATAATCAATTTTTGGACAAAAACATGGAGAAGGAGAAAAATGTATGGAAAATTTTGGAATCCCTTCCCATTTGTAATATGATTTAGAAGTAAAATTGAAAAGGTGTGTATTTGAGTATCTTGTTGGGATAGGATTGAAGGGAACAGATTGATGGGGGGCCTTGAAATCGAATGGAGAGGTTGGATTTGCTTTTCTCTGGAGTTTGATGGCAGAAAGCAATGGAATAAAAGAAAGTAGGTAGAGAGTATAATGTCTTTAATTGTAGGACATATTACAATTTATGCACACATGCACTTGCCCACACCTCTCACAATTATTATTATTGTGGTATACATCTACCTTAAAAGTTAGGAACTCGAGCTTATATATCTTCTACAACATTATAACACATATTATATAACGTAAAGTTTTAATGGTCCAAAACACAAGGTATGTAAATTTGAACTTTCCGTAACTCTAAGTTTAATACATCAAAAGTTTGGGCAACATACCCACAAGGTCATTTTATAAATGTCTTGGATGTGACAAGCCTAAATATAATTCGGTTGGTTTAAGATATAATAAATCTCTTAAGGTAGAAGTTCGAATCCTCGATACTCTTAACTCTTGTTTATTAAAATATCTATCAATGATTAAATTTGTACCGATCAAGTTTAAATCTTTGAATTCGTTGGTGATTTGACATGGTATTAAAGCAATAGGTCAATGATTAAACTCGAAATAGAAGAAAAAAATTATGATGTCGAAGATTTAGTTTTTCGTTTTATTATTTCTTAAAATTATTTAAGTATTAGTTTTTTTAGTACAACAAATGTGGGTATGATCAAAGATTTGAAACTCCACAATCTCAAGAGAATAAGTATATACTATTTACGGTTGAATTTGCATATGTTTTACATTTTAAATAATAGTTAGTGTTTAATTGTAAGATATACTTGAGTTATCGTAAAATACTATCTACTTTGTTTATACTTTAATTTTAATTCGATTTATGGTTGGTTAAACATGAAAATAACTAGCAGTTAATGCATCGAACTACTCTATTCACGTGAGGTAAGAGGTTCAAATTTTCACACAACTCATATTTATTATACTAAAAAATAATTGATTTACGGACTTTTTCTATTTTCAATCAAATCGAATATTGAATAAATGAAACAAAATTGGTAATTGATTAAAAGTAAAAACCATAAATTTTGGGCTGCGATCATGCATTCTTAGCAAAATTATATATTATTATATATTTGTTTAGCACTTTGAAAACATATAGAACATAGAACAACCGTTGAAATATAATCTCTTGAAAATCTTGCTTGAACACCCCTATTTAATCGGTAAAAAAGAGCATTAATAATTGAATATGGTTATAATAGAATGAAAGAAAAAGAATATAAATATAAAATAAAAAAGGGGGGTTATTTATAATGGAAATAAATGTTCCAACCCAACACATCTACATCAGTTACCTCGCAAGTTATTGCTGTAAAGATGGTGACGGTTTCAATTCCCAAAAGCTGAAAAATACATGCAATTCCAATTTCAAATTATTCAATTCCCCAATTCCCCCCTCTCTTCTTCTTCTTCTTCTTCTGAAAAAATTAGGGTTTTGAGAAAAATTAGTGTTGTTTTCGATCAATTCTCTCTGCAATTAGAAAATTGAGCTTCCATTTTGATCATCCATGGAGATCACCTCTCCCATCATCATCACCTTCTTCTTCCTCTTCCTCATCCTTGCCACTCCTTCCATTTCCTCTTCTAAAGGCATCTCTCTCTTCTCTCCCTCTTTAAATTAATTCTTTTTGTGTCACAGAAAATTAAATTTTGATTTTGATTATTTTTTTTGCAGGTGGATCTGAAAATGGGGCCATGGAAATTTCTTCAGAGGTTTATGAAATAGACTATAGAGGACCAGAAACTCACTCATCTCATTTTTCTCCACCTGATCACCACTCCCATGGAAGGCCTTGGATTATTCACCATCAACCTAAATTACACTCTCTCAACCCTTCTCCAAACTCACGCAAGGTAAATTAAACGCTTCTCGTTCTTTTTTAATTATGCCCATCATCCATTTAATAACAATATTTTTATTTAGGTTTGAAAAAATCTTTTAAAAATTTAGAAACAACAGACGTTTTGTTTCTATATAACATGTGGAGGTAGGGATTGAATTTATAGCCTCCGATCCAACCTCTTGAGATTTATGCTAATTACTAGCTTTGCGGAGAAACAACAAACATATGATTTCTTTTTATTTTTTTATCCACACAATCATATTGTTAAATACTTGAATCTTTTGACAAAATTGAGGTCTTATTTTACCCCTCAATAATTTTTTTTTTAGAAATATTAATTTTTTTTCAGATAATTGGTTTTTTACTTTTTCAAGGAAAGTATTTTCTTTAATATTTATGATCTAATGCTGTAACGATTTACATCAGGGGATTTTTAAAGAAAAAAGAAATGATTCCATGTCGAGTTTGGTTAAATTCAGATAAATGAGTAAATTTACCAAGTTATCTAATACAGTAAATAAAAGTGAGTCGTCTCGATTTCAATGATTTTCTTATAAGAGGTAAAATTCATGTCACATCAGTAATTAAATCCATGAGAAGTTAGCATTTTTTATAAAACAAAAAAGGAAGGCTATATATATATATATATATATATATAAGTTAGTTTTTTAAGTAAGTTATTTGAGTTGAAAAACATAAGGTGAAAATTTCAACCACTAATTTATTTTTTGGTAATATAGTAACAGCGTATTTATTTGGTTCTTCTAATCTTGTTATTAACACTATTGATTTTTACACAAATAAAATTGTTACTAAAATATATTATAATTTTTACACAACAAAAAAAATGAAAAAAAAAAAGAGAAATCTACCATGGTTGAATCTTGAAAATCATTCTTAAACTACGTGTCTTAATATAAATGAGTAGTTTTTTTTTAATATCTGCTTAAAATAGTGAATATTTCTGTCACACTTCATAAAACAAAATAAAAATTACATTTTTGTACAGTTTCCCAATTATTGTGTTTACTTGTGCAGGTAAGCTGCAAGAAGGTGGGTGCATGATATGGGAAGTTTTGGAAGCATTGTGTCGATGTTTAGAAATTAAATTAAACTTGGTGAACTTTTTTCTTTTCGTTTTTTTTTTAATATCGACGAGTATCCAAGTCAGCTTATGCACCGATTCAATTCGGTGAACTTGAGATAGAATATATGGACAACCAATCCCCATGTACAATTTCTTTTCTTTTTTTTTTTTCCTTAATTTTCCGCTTGAGTATAATTTTGTACAAATTAAGATTTCATTAATATTTTGTGTGTTTGGAGTTTGAACATAAGTTCTGTGTTGTAATTGGTTAAGAAGACATCAACGTATAACATATTTTACTTCTCTGTGTTTTTTTAGTGTACACCTTAACTTTTTTTTCGACGTGATGAATCAAATTAATCATGAGTGCAAACAAATCCCATGTTAGCCAGGATATATAAGCGAACGCAATTATCTCGATTTGGTGTGTGATCTTTTGAGTAAAACAAAAAGAAGGTTTCTGTCAATATTCATACCCTATAATTGTAGAGACATGTGATTGGTGTTAAGAATCCCACATCGAATGACTTAACCAAGGTTTATAAATATATGAGTAGAATAGCTAAAGATTCCATGTCGAAAATTCAATGTCGAAAAGATTAAGGAATTTAACAAGATTTATAAACATATCGATTACACCTCCAAAATATTTCCATGGACTGAAGGATTATATTCTACCTCAATGTTTTTAATATATTGTAAAAATTCAACGAAGTATAAAGAATGACAACAAAATTACCATACCACCAATATAAGAATAAACACTAACACGAAAGATTTATATTTTATTTAAAAAGTATAAAATACTTATTTATTAATCAAATAATTTTCCTAATTTATAACAAATATATATATATATATATTTTAAGGATGTTTTAGTTTTGATATCTCCCTAAAAATAAAATAAAAATCTCGAAGTTTCCGTGGAAGTGGAGACGGACGTTCAAAATCAAAACCTATTTGCGTAATTACAGCTACGGCGCAACCAGAACCTATGGTAGAGGTTTCCGCACCCAATTAAAACCGCTGCGGCTTTGCGTGTACACAAAATACAAATATACAGCGCGTAGACTTGGTTTTTCTTCCTCTTGGCTCTTGCCGTGTGCGAGGAAATTGGAAAAATCACGTCTCTCCCATTTCTTCGCATTCAATTTTCAATTTTCTCATCTGGGAATTTTCGTTTTTCTCCCGAGTTAGAGTAATCATGGCGAACGGCCAAAACCATGAGGAATCCAGCCCACTTCTTGGACAGGTGCTTGAAACTGAAACTGCCGATGAGAAGGATACCCTTCCCAGCTCCACCGCGGCTATGGGCGATGCGGTGCCTCCGCCGCCGCCGCCGCAGCCTGTTCGGAAAGATACGGCGGAGGAGAATGGCGGTGGTGGCTGTGAATATGGGTGGACCGCCGATGGGCTGCCGATACATGGGAGTGTGGTGGGGGAGCCGATGGGTCGGGCCCAATGGGAAACTGGTCTCTTCACTTGTCTTGGTCGCCAGGATGAGTTCTGCAGCAGCGATCTTGAAGTTTGTAAGTCAATTCGTTTCTTAATTGTTATCGGAAGGATTTGTGTTTAGATTTTGGTGGTTCTTTGTCTCTGATTTTGGGGTTTGGCATCGCGATGATATTACTGCAATTCTGAGGGGGATTTCTTTGTTCTTGGCTATTCGGTGTGATGATTCTAAAAAATTTGAATCCGATCAGCAATTAACGCCAAAATTTTTCGATTGATGTTATCCATGGTCAATAGCTTCGGACGATGTCCATCGTTTTTGTAGTTTTACTTAATGGCTTAAGGCGAGGAATTCAATCTCAAATGATGAAATGAAAACTGGGCTTTTAAATTTTGCTCTCTCTAATCTCTATCAGATGCTTACTATTTCTAGTTATGAAATCGTATGTAGCTCATCCTCATGATGTTTTATTGAACTCTTTGGTGATTTACCTTAATTTTAGAAACAATAGAAATTGTTCTTATGATTGTTGCTTATTCCAGTCAAAATGTTAATCGTTTTATTTGAAGAAACAGAGACGATACCTCCTTTGTATATGTTGACTTTAGACATTACGGATACAGTCTTGTAGAATGTGGTTTGCTCCAGCTTATTAAATATCGAACCCATAGATCATGATATGCTAGCATTTGGGTAATACTATATTTCTCGTCTCCAAATTAAGTTTTAGGTAAGAGCTGGAAGTGTGCAGAAATGTTTATTCTCTTATACCAATACCATGCTATTGCTTGTAATAGGTGGTAAAGCAGTCTATCTAATACTAGTTTAAACAAACAAGTTTTCAATGTTTTATTAGGTTACGAAATTTCCTATCTAATTCTCAATCATCCATTAAATGTCCAATCCTATCCTACAATTAAAAGAAATGCTTGCACGGTGTTATATTTTCGTAGTTGGCATGACTTTCTATCTCTCTTCATGGTGGGGGCTGGAGGAATCCAGGCCATTTATGGGCCAGGATTGTGGGTCGTTCTAAGCCAGAGTAGTCAATATAACTACCAAATAATTCGTGGTATTTTGATCCTCCCTCTCTCTGAGTATTATTACTCAAGCTTAAACTACCGAACGATTGCCTATCTTCCCCTCCCACACTCACTCTATTTAAAATCATCTCCTTCCTGTAAACTCTGTGACAAATTACTAATATGTCCTTATACCTTAATAATATTTCTAACTACCTGATGACATTCCTAACGCACTCACCCCTCCTGAGGGAAGGGCGTTCACTCTTGTGTGGGAGGGATTTATGTTTCCTCCTAGGGTTATAATTGATAAAAAGGACCAGCATTGGCGTTTACTATTTAATCAGGGACTCAAATACTTTATAAGTCTTAAGATTTTTCTTTATTGAAAGTGATCAGGATGGGAAGAAAATGAAACGAGATTAGAGAAAAGAAGGTGAAGAAACTAACAATCGTTTGTGTTGTAGGTGTTATTGGAAGTGTGGCTCCTTGTGTGCTGTATGGAAGCAATGCAGAGAGAATTGGGTCTTCTAATGGAACCTTTGCTAATCACTGCATGTCATATTCTGGACTCTACTTGATTGGAACCTCATTCTTTGGTTGGAACTGCCTTGCTCCATGGTTTACTTATCCTAGCCGAACCGCTATCCGCCGAATGTTCAATCTAGAGGCAAGTTAAACTTACTCCTTTAGTATCCAAATTGATTCTTAATTTGCAATCTGCATCAGTGCATAACTATGAAAGAATGCATCCCTTAACTAAAATGTTTGGCTTTTGACTCGAAATGAATTAAAATTGACGAAATGGGCGACTTTTGCCTTTACCATGTAATACCTATAGTGGGGGCGTCGGTCATGGTCACCGTTGAAGCATCTGCTTAGCTTTCAGTTCTATTGATACATGAGTATATACATTATATTTTCCCATGGCAAACAGGGTAACTGCGAGGCGCTTCATAGGTCATGTGGCTGTTGTGGAGTCTGTGTCGAAGATGAGGTTCAGCGTGAGCACTGTGAATCAGTCTTTGACTTTGCAGCTCATGTCTTCTGCCACACATGCGCACTTTGCCAGGAAGGCCGTGAACTCCGTCGACGGGTGCCTCATCCTGGGTTCAATGCTCGACCCGTGTTAGTCATGATTCCACCTGCAGAACAGTCGATGGGGCGTGGAGCCTAAGCATCCCATTCCCTCATGAAGTAAACCTAATTGCCTGCCTCATATAGCTTCTCTTTATGTTCCATGGCAGTGGTGTCATGCTGCTGGGGATCTGCATGAGAATATATTCTGTGGCTGATGAGATCCGGATGTTAAATTTTCACGGGGAAAAAATATACTGACGAGGTTTTGTATAAATGAGATGGGATACCATATTTGTGGATATATATATATATATATGTAACCTTCTTTTTATGCATAGAAGGTGTTGAAGATTTCGTCGCCACCTGGACAGATTTGTTTCCTTTCATTTGAATATTGACAAGGATTAATGTTTCAATTTGTATTTTTAACTGCATTGGAATATGTTTCACTCTTTTTGGTTAACCTTTTTCATCAAACCAAACTTGTTTATGAATGATATTTTTTTTTCACACCATAAAATCATTTCTAAAATGTTTGTTTGGGAGTGTCTCTTTGTCTAGGCTTAAAATAACACAGGATTTTTGACAAAACATAATGAAAAGATAAGTCATCAAATATATTCAAGATCTCGCTATCAAAACAGATTCTGAACTTTTAGTTGAAAACTCAGTTAATCTAATTTGTGTACATTCCTGGCTAGCCAATGGGTATCAGACAAGAAAGATAAAGCAGCATTGAAGCAAAATATACCACATAAACTATCTTCTTATTTTCTCATCACTACGCGATTCTAAACCAACCGCAGGAACGTAGAACAAAAAGTAAAACAACTCTGGAGAACTTGTTAGTTCAAGGAACACAGCGGATAAGAGAAAAGTTTACTACTACTACTTGTCTACTACCACTATACTACTCTCCAGGTGCAGAGATACCTTGTTTCAATCTCTCCCTCTTCATCTTCTTCTTGGAAACTGGTTTCTTCTTTTTGGGAGGGAGGGTCTTCTGCGCATAAACATACAGTGCGTAATTCCCTACGAGAAAAGCCAAGAGCAGCCCCCCGACGACGAGCAGCACGACAAGTCCTGGATTGAATCCTCCAGCGTCTGCATCTCTAATCACCTTCCCCTGTGCACCAAGGCCAATGTTTGCTGCTGATCACATTAATAAGAACATACACAACAAGGAGAGAGTTGAAGAAAGAAACTGATGAGCCGTTGTAAAGCCCCAGATCAGAGACTGTTTATTTCTTCTGCATTCTGCAGTTTCACGCTCCACGTTTTCGACCCGAGTTATGCATCAACACTAATATATGTAAGATGTATACTCAGTCTCATGTATCACTTCTGAATGAATCAAAGTAAGGTCTTTTTCACTTAAATACGAAGAATATCCCTTATTTAGGAATAGGGTAAGTGTAAATTAGAATCAGAACCCGCGTCAGATTATAAGCATGAAGAGGAGATGAATTGTATTCTCATACTCCTGCTATTCATTAATCTGGTCCTTCAAGCGGAGGATACCACATCCTCTGAAAATATCGAAGCGATCAGAAGAAGAAATATTCCAACCTCAAATTAGAAGTTTGGCCATGCAAGCAAGATCAAATTAACAGATTCATGTAGCATCCTGTAATTTCAAATTCGATCCTCTAAGAAAAAAATGTATAAAGAGAAGCAGTTTTTGAAAACTTTTCATCCCACCAAAGAACACACTAATTACATGCATCCTCTTCATCCTTGAAAGATTGCATCAACAGAGCGTTTCTTCATGAAAAAGAAGTTCGATTCTGGTTAAGAAATTTCACGTTTTCTCGGTAATTGAAAAACCCACAATACAAGAGAATTACCAAGCAAAGTGTTTCTTTACAGAAGAAACGGGACTTTCACTAACCCAAAACAGCTCATAAGGATACTCGGGGAGCAGATCCCACCAAATTTCAACTGCATTATTTGCTACATTTGATTTAAACGAATTTCAAAAAAATGAGATCAAAGTGGAACAAAAATCCTCAACGATTGTAGGTAAACCATAAAGAATAAACATAAAGAAGGATCTCCAAATCAAAACCCCAAGGGAAAAAGAGAAAAGGGTAGCTGCATTCATAGAGATCTTATACTAGGCAGGGCAAAAAGGAAGAGAGAGAGAGAGAGAGAGAGAGAGAGAGAGAGAGAGAGAGAGAAATGAATGGCATCGGGATATTTTCAAGGGAGTTGTCGGAGAGTGGAGTACCATGCGATGGACGGACGGCGGAACCTTGTCGCCGAACTCGAAATCGTCGTCCATGGCTGAAATTCAGAAGCGCTTCGCAACGGGCTCCAGTTGTAGCTATGCTATGAACCACAGAAACTTCGAGAGGAATAGAATAGAAGCAGAGATATTAGCAACACATGCTGGGATGGACAGTGGATTTAGTCCATTTCCGCCCACGGGGTTCCAAACGACGCCGTTCTAGAAATTTGACATTTTCGGCCAATTATTTGAATAAATAAAATAAAAAAAAATCAAAATTTTTTTAAGCAATGATTTAAATGTCGATATGGATAGAAAGGTTGGAAGTTTCAATTTCATAAAAATATGATATTTCTATAAAAATTTAAATTAAAAATGATAAATATTAATATTGTGTATATATTAGTAATATTGATAGTTTTCGTATTTTATCGATTCTTTTGTAATATCATTGAAATGTTGAACTGCAACAGAAAAGACCTGAATAGGAAGAGGAAGAAAGAGACCCTCTTAAGGAAAACTCTTCACTATCATGCACACTATCCATCTGGCCTCGCACTATCAATCTGCCTCAATTATCAATATCAATGGGTTATAAACAAATATTCATTACATAAATGGGTGAAAAGCAATCAAAGCTGATCCACCACATATGAACGTTGGTTTGTTATAAAATTTAGTAAAAAAAACCACATAAAAACATTTTCAATGGTGCCTCAAATAAGTAATAAAGGCTTCTTCTTCTAGTAAGAGAGGCTAATTATATTAAGTTCATGAAATTTTTTTCTCATATATGAAGTTTTTAGCGTAGGTGAAGCGGATCAGTTCGAACTCATAACCTCTTGATCAAATAGAGGTATGCCAATTATTACCAATTAAATTCGGGTTAGTGCATAGTTTTTGACAATATAAAAGGGATATCGAGATCTTATTGTATACATCTCTCTCTCATAATTTCTTTTACATGTTATTGTTTTTAATTAACATGTCGACAATCTTTTCTAATCTCTCCTTGGTCATCACCAAGAGGGCTATTCTCCGACAACAACAGAACGGCCCTTGCAAATTGGTCGAGGAAGTAGCTGTTATTGGACGCCATGTTTTGGACATAAGGGAGAGTAATTGGGCTCGAGCCCAATTGCTGGTCCACCAGCAGAAGGGCCTTGTGGCCCAATACGTTTTTGTAGTAGTTGTTGTCCAGAACCATTGGGCTTTCAAGATCGTTCCTCGCGTACTGGACTGCCTTCGGGTCTGGGTTTTGGGTCGGGCACCGTCTTTTCAGATACTCCGCATGCTCCGGATCTAGAGTCGGGTCCACGGTCGGGTACAACCGGTTCACTATATTTACGCAGTGCACCCGACCCACGGAGTGAGCTCCTGATCCATGGAATTTAAATCAAGATAAAATATCACAAAATGTATATATTTTTTTAATTATTCTTTAAATTCAGAGTGATTACAAAAATCTTTTATATATCTGTTTGAGTCCAAAAAAAATTTCAATAAACCTCCTTTCTATCATATTTTCTCCCCAAATTCTCAAAATAATAATAATATATAAAAGCAATTATTTAAAAAAATGATTAATACATTTTTTGTCTTAATTTGGACTTGTTCCTATTTGGAACCTTATTAATATTCATGATCATCTCAAAATCATGGACAAAATGAGTAGGTCTATTATAAATCATTATTAGGTAATTAATGTGGGATCCTTAATACCACTTTATCTTTTGATTCTTGAGAGAATCCTTGAATGACCGTTAAATGCTATATGTCTACCCAACAAAAAAATTCAAATGAGTTGGATTCACTTTGGAGAAAAGAGGAAGGTTGGGAAATTTAAACTTAACTTCCTGGCCTGAGTTGAAACTAAAGTTAGAAAGATCTCAATGATTAAAAAATATTGTTTTTTTTTGTTTTTTGATCATGGTCTATGGGGTGCCCCTCCAATTATAAAAAAAAATAATGTTTTTTTTATAATTCAGAAATAGAAACTAAGTTTGGATTAAAAAAAAATGTATTTGTATTTTACTTAAAAAAGAAAAGCAGACAATTTGGAAGAAAAAGAAAGAGGTGGAAGAAAATGGAATTAAACCTAAAAGAGCAACGGTAGCCTGAGGATCAATGCCAATGTCTTGAAAGCGAGAGAGAACCAAAGAAAGAGAGTCATTGTGATTTGGGATAAACTGTTCCACCACTGCCTCGTAACTTTCCTTGCTGTCTCTTCTCCCTGTTTTCATTTCAATCTCTCCTCCCCCTAACTTTTAATTACACCATCATATATAAATATATTATTCCATACCCAAATACCATAATTCAAAAAAAAAAAAAAAAAAGAAGAAGAAAAAATACCAAGAAAATGGCATCTCTTGCAGCCAGAGCCATGACATCTGCACATGAAACAGTGTTGGGGCATACATTTTCAAGGACTTGTTTGATTTTGTTTACATATTTGAAATTCCTCATCCCAAAACTCCTCGGAGATGCCTTCTCTGATACAATTTTACCCTCTTTTGTCTTCATCTCTAACAAAAGAGATGCATCGCACGACTGTAAATTTCCCCAATAACAAAAAAAAGATAAGAAAATTGTAAATTACATGTACAGAAAGTACAAGGGATTGAATAAATTACATACCTTGACCATGCAATCATGGAAGAGATTTCTGATCCAAGAGATGGCAGTGTTGCCATGTTTCTGGTATAAGCTGAAAACTTGTTGCTTGATTATGTCTTCAGCATTTGGGCAACTTTGGTTGTAGTAATTTACTATAAGCTGTTGTTGGCTCTTCCCTATGCAAAAGCATTATATTGGTTATTAATTTGGTTATACAATATTAATAAAAACTAAAAAGGGCACTGAAAGAGCAAAGTACCAAAATTGAAGAGGAGGAGCAAGGATGATAATAGAAGAATTAACACAAATCTTGAGCTCCCAACACTCATTTTTTTATTTTTGCTATCTAATTCTGGTTTGTTTGGTACATTGATTTTATGATAAGATCGTGCTATATATAGAGAGAGATCTCCAATGGGGGAGAGAGAGATTTGAGGGAGAGATCTTGGGAGAGAAATCTTTTGAGAGAGAGTGGGAGAGTTTAATTCTTATTCACAGAGTGGAAATTGGATCCCCATTTTTTGCATTTGCATGGAATTTTTAAATAAACTTCACATTTATTAGTTCATTACTAAATAAAAGGAAATGCATATAGTCCTCCAAATCTCATCTATTTTGTAATTATAATATTTCTTTCATTTCGTTTAATTGGAATACTTTCACATACTCGTCAATAATAATAGGTAAAGATATATATACTTATGGTAACATATTGAAGTGATGTTAGGTACATGAATATCACAATTTAGGTTTCTATCAAAAGTTTTAACCATATAGGCCCAAAAATTGATTTTAAAACAATTTTCATAAAATCCAAATTTAATCCTTGGAAAAAAAAAACCAATTTTATTTATTAGTAGGTGAAACTGAGAGGGAGGGGAAATATTGTAATGTGAAGAATTTTGAGTCAACTAAGTCTAATCCCCACTAAGCCAATTTCTTTGACTTTTGGTAATGAAATTTCTAATTAGTTTCCATAGTGGTAGTACCATTTTCTATAGCCATTTGTGATAATTGTCATTATTATATAGTTTATATGTGGCATTCCAAAATTTGGAGGCTGAGGGGGCAATTGAAGTCTTATGAATAGTGGAGGTAATTATATTTACATTGACAATCCTAGTTTTCAACCCATTTAAATTTTAAAAAAGAAAAAAAAAAACCAACAAGAATTCCAAATTTCCAAAATTTGAAAACTTTAATTTTGGTGGGTAATGATATATTCAAGTTAATGATCTTTCAAAATGAGTTGGGTGGTTGCATCTCTCTCTCCCTCACTAAGTTATTGGTTGGGATTTTCTTCATGTGATCTACTAATCTTTTTCAAATATATTTTTTAAAAATTGGTGGTCGAAATTGATTTGTCTAGATCCTTAACAATTTTTACCTCCATTTTAAACACATATCCTTTATTGGGGAGGCAAATATGTATATCTCAATGGTAGTCCATAGTGGCATACCTTCCAGAACGAGGGTAGTTGTATAAGAAATTTATACGATGAAATATAAAATTAATTTTAAAATAACATATAGTTCTAATTTGTTGTATGTTAGGGGTAAAATTAGGGCATGCCACCTGTGACTCTCTCACCATGGAACACTGTTTGAGCCCGAACATGAGGAAGAGCTAGTCTATACTCTTCTGCCTACCTAGACTGAGCCCAATTCGAGTACAACCTCAGGACTCGAATGTTGCCGATAGATGATATCCCGATCCCCAATAGATAATTTGTTGATTGTGATGAGGTACAAACGCTTTCTAAAGCTCCCCTATAAAAGATGGAGCCATTGTATGGACGTGATCTTTATGCAACCTAACTAAACTCAGCGCGATACCAATTTGAACTAAGTTCAGTCTTAAGCTTTAAAATGTACGTGGTCGAGCACGTGCAAGGTTCTCAGTTCAATCGATTCGAAATTCATCTTGGTTCATACATCTCCAAAATTCCAAATCGATATTACATATGATGTCTTTAAAAAATGAATTCTTTTGGAGTGAAGTGTAAGATCGACTTTTCCAAAAAGATTTAATTTATTTACTAATACTTATTGTTCGCTGAAAAAGAAAAAAGTAAGTAAACTTATTTTGTTATATTTATATATATATTCTTTACCATGTATGATAATGGGTTTATTATTTTCAATTTTTTTGTAAGAAAATTTTAGTTTAGAAATGACTAAAAAATAAATTCAAAGTAAAGTTTTAAATTATAAAAATAATAAATAGTTTAATTATATTTCTATATCTTGTAAACAAAAGTGGGCATTTGGTCTAGTGGTATGATTCTCGCTTAGGGTGCGAGAGGTCCCGAGTTCAATTCTCGGAATGCCCCATTTGATTGTTTTTCAATTTCTTTGACAATTTTTTCAAAAAAATGGGCCGCGACCGGCTTTTGAGACCTTAAATACAGCTAAAGATGGGCCACCGCAAGGCCCATTTATTGATCAGTTTTTCTAAAAAATTTGTAAAAATGTCTCCGTTTGAAACTTTTGATGAGAGGGAGACATTAGTTTTAGAAAGTAATAGTAACTAATTATTGTTTTAAAAAAATTATTATATTTTTTCAAAAGTCAAATGGGGTATAATTCAATGGTAATTGACAAATAAGTCCCACCACGAAGTTGCGAATTCAATCCTTCATCTCACACGTTGCACTCAAAAGAAAAAGAATTATTTTTTTAAAAAAATTCAGCTTCCCTATTGGTTTTCACTTTATATTATTTGTATACGAAACAAAAAATAATTTCTTTTTTTCCAAAAAAAAAAAAGGTGAACAATGACATAACGGGTTTACTTGTCCTCAGAGTGATCATGATCCATGGCATCAATTTTTGTTTTTTCTTCACTTTAGAGTTTTAGAGTAAAATTTTCTCCTCTCTGTTATTTTTTTCCACTTAAACCACAAAAAATGAATTCGACTTTAGTTAGGTATCAATCGACCTAGTAACGATCTGTTTCTTGTTTCTAATTTCTTATTTCCTATTTTTCCTATTTAAAACGATAGAACTACTTTTTTTTTTATAACTGTTTCTAGTTTTTTGTTATTTATTTTTAGAAAATATAAACATTTTTAATAATTTTAAATTAAAAAAAGTAACAGATTTATATAAAATTTCATATTTCATATTAGATATTCAATTTTTTTAATGTTATATTTGTTTTTTTTATTTTTTTATTTTTTAAAAATAAAAAATAATACTTTTATCTATGTGTGGTAAAAAAAAACCCTAAAAATTAAGCATGAAGAAGAAAATAAAAACTCCATAGTTGGTTTTTGAAATGTATACATAATTTTAGAAATGTTTCTTAAAAATGAGAAATAATGAAAAATAAAAATAATTACCCAACAGTCATATTTGTAAAAAATTAAAAGTCAAAATAAAAAATATAATAAATAAGAAAGGAGAACGTTATCAAATTAGTCTGACAATGTCGCAGGAGAAAATTAGAAAGTCAAAATAAAAAATATAATAAATAAGAAATGAGAACGTTATCAAATTAGTCTGACAATGTCGCAGGAGATTAGAATCTCGTTCCATGACAATTTTTTTATCACGTTTTTCTTAATAAAAACCCTAAAAATGGAGGTGGGAGACAAATTTTCAATGCTCGTGGTTTTTTGTTGCATATCGAGAATGGGTTCAATTTTCAGAGTTTTTATTCCAATTTGTCAAACTTCCGAGCCAATCAAAGTATTGGTTAACCAAACTTAATTTATTATTAATTTAAATTCGTTCCATATTACTCTTAAATTGTGCTACAAGTTTGATCTAGTTGTCCACTATCTTAAGTAGGTTTTTTTAATTAATTAATTTATTTATAATCACTATCTTAAGTAGGTTTGTTTAAAATATTTTGATCATTTGAGAAAACTGACCAACCATAACTTAAATATCGGCCCAAGCGAGCCTGGAGCAACAATTGATATATATCTCCAACCAACAGCTTGTGAGTTCGATCTTCCACCCATATGTTGTATTAAAAAAAAAGTTTTGTTGAATTGTATCAACTTAAATTTACTTTTCTCAACGTTTTTTTTTTCATGCTAGAGGGTATAATTGTCTATGCCCTCGTCCATTGAATTTCATTTCACTTTAAATAAGACTACTTTTTCTATAAGCATTTTTGAAAAATTTACTAATTTTTAATATGTTTAATTTATTTTTTAAAAATTATACTGTTTTTGATAATAAATAAAAAACATTTTTTAAAAAATTAGATGGTTTTACAGTGCCAAGAAATACTCTAGAAATGATTATCTAAAAAGTTTAATCATATACGTAACGATTGACATTCTTATAATTTGCACTTAAAAGAAATAATTACTAAAAAAAAAAGAGTAAAAAATGCTCAAATTAAAACAATATATCAAACTTATACTAATTCTAACTTCTAAATTGATTAAAAAATATAAATATACTGATTTAAATTTTTTTAATATAATAAATAGGGGTGAAGATTTGAACTCACGACCTCTTTTGGTTGGAAATAGATATCTAAACCAGTCAATCTATGCTCAAGTTGACATATTTTAACGCCATATAAACTTTGATAAAGAATGACAAATTTTACATTATAATTTTTTATTATATACGAGACAATTACCACCTAGTTCTTTTGTCCTTTAAATATACAACACCAAATACAAATATAATTGAAAATATAATTAAATTAGAGCCAAAAATTACCCATTAATTAAAACCAAACTCAAAGTATGAAGAGTTTTTAATCTCATATGTATGATCGAAAAGGCAGACAAAAAAGCTATGATATGCCCTAATGAAGCCAAGGATTGGCAAAATTCCATGAATATATTATCGGGGGGTTTGGTTTCCTTTGACTTCCATAGTACTTTTAGATATAAATTAATATAAATGAGATTTCCAAGGTATTAACCAAAATTATTGTCACAAAGTATCAATTTGGTGTCCCCTTGAGTATTTGTTCAAGTATATTTAATTTTACTACTCTCTTTTTTTTCCTTAAAAAATGAATATAATTTGTACGTTTTCCCAAATCCAACCTTATGTTTGTTTTTTTTATTTAAAAATAATGATTTCAATACTCTCTTGTGAGTCGTGAATAATGTTCAAATCAGAGATTATAGTTTTCTTTTAATTAGTTGCAATGGAATTATTATACATGCACCAAAGCTATGTTATTGAAAATAGAAATAGGAGCTAACTAACCCGCTCAACTCGGAGTTGCCACACTAGAAAATATAATAAATGTGACGGGATTTCTACTAAGATGTTTGACTACCTCGTATCATCAATGTTTCAAGTTGAATTTTTTAGTAAAATTAGCAAATAAACAGTGAGAAATGAATTAAATTTAACCAACCCTATTAGCTTTTAATTAAGCTTTTGGGTTGAGTGATGACTTATTTATGTTGAGGATGTTACTAGGGTGAGAGGTCCTATATATGCTCGAGCCTTGCATTGTTATTTCTTCCCCAACAACACTTAATTATAAAAATGATTCTCCGAGCACATCTCTGGTGGATAAGACATCTTAATATATTCCCAAAGGTCGATCTCCACTAATCTTACCATCATTGATTTCAAAATATATATATAAATGGTTCAACCTTTTTTTTTTTTCCCTAAAGTCCATTTTATGATAATCCAACAGTAATATTAGGGCAGAAAAGAAAAGCAAAATGTTCCCTCTACTTGCATTGGTGGAGGAAGATGAGGAATCTACATTCCATGGATTTGTGTTAGGGCATGTCCTTTTCTGGTCGGACATATATATGAATATGCATATACAATTATTCTCTTTCCCATATAAAAAATCAGGGTTTTCTTTGTTAAAAAAAAAAACATCTCTTCCCCATATAAAAAAGTAGGGATTTTTTTAAAAAGTAATTAAGAAACTTTATAATATATAATAATGCAACCAAATAATGCATGGATTTGAGGGGTGTCTTTGTTTTATATATTTGTAATAGCATGTGTATGTGTTTGATGAAGATTGGAAATTTGATGCCAACGCAAGCAAAACCCAATTGCATCTTGCCAAAAAAGTTGTTGTCCTTTTTCATTATTATATTTATATAATTAATTTGTGCTTAATAATTACTTTTCATTTTGATACAAATAAGTAGCGAATATGACTCTTTTAGTATGATAAGAAGTGAGACGAGATGATTCAAACTCATGACCTCTTGATCAGAGTCACGTACCAATTACTGTTGAATTAAGTTCACGTTGGCGATTAAATTACCTAATTTCGTCTAAATTAGATAAGTTACCAATTTATGTTATTTTTGTAAAATTTTAAACCTAATACTATATATATAAATACATATTTTCTTTGTTAAAACTGATTTTTTAATTCTCTCTATCTAGTTTAAGCAGCTGTTTTAGTGTTAATTAGATTATAAAATATTATATGTCTATCTCAAAATGAGAAAAAAAATTATTTGTCAAATTCCATAATAAAAGAAAAGAAAGCACAACCTTGGGTTGCAAATTGAAGTGATGCACCATCCAACTAATTGGAAAGCTTACGATATTTTCCATGGAAAGTCTACCAACCTTGAAAATGAAATCCTATAAATTTCTATAATAATAATAATAAAAAAAATATTCTGCCTAATATTATTTTGACGATTATCTTAAAAGTAAACAATTTGCTTATCATTTTTTCCACAAAGATAATAAATGATTTACACTAATGAACAAGTTCTCAATTTGATGGCGTAATATAAAAGCTAAAATTGGTTATTTGATAGACGTGACAACATTATATTTCAAATTATATTTTTAATAAAACGTTGTTTTTTTCTTTACAAGAGTCAAAGATTTGGATTCTGTGGATGAATGTTCATATTAGTTGGTCTTCATCAATTCAACTATTGCTAATACGACTAATTTGTTTTGATATAAAGAGAAAATAATATAATGTTTTTTTTAATTATCATCTAACCCTAAAAAAAGCATCAGTCAAACAAGGGACTAAACACTTAACCAGTTAAAGCTGAAAAAAAAATTTAATGGGGGCCCAAAAAATTGTTGATTTGATCAGATGGATTAAGATGTATAACCCAATTCCAATAATTTGATTTAGATAATGCATAATTAATTATGGGTTTGTAAATCAAATCTTCTCTATTATTTTAGAAAAACTAATTATTCTATTTTCTGAAAATATGTTTAATGGATTCATCTTTATTGAAAAAATTAAAGCTACTTTGGAAAATGATGGGTTAGGGTTCTATATTATATTCTATTAAATTGTGGGGGAAGTAAAACGTGTATGAACTATGAGAATTCATCACCAAATTCTAAATTATTAAGAAAGTGGTCGTGGAGTTTGAATTTATTATCTCTCAAAATTTACTATAACCCTAAAGACCAACCAATCACATATAAACTAATCAAGTAATTGACTTGAGAATAAAGTGAATTTTTATATTTTTTAAAATTACTTGAAAATTACTGGAAAACATATCATTTCAAAATCACTGTAATTTTGACATGAATAAAAGTGATTATAACTATAAGATCACTTCCAAACATGCTGGAACTTTCACTCTATGCATAAGATATCCCTAGATTTTAAAATTATTGTAATTTTGACACGAGTAAAAGTGATTCTCACCATATTAAAATCACTTCCAAACATGTTGGAATTTTCACTCTATGTATAAGATGTTCATAGATTTTAAAATCACTGTAATCTTAACATGAGTAAAAGTGATTCTAACCTTACTAAGATCACTTCCAAATGTGCCAAAACTTTCACTTTAAACATAATATATCCCTAGATGATAATCACATGTGATGTATAAAAAAAATGGAGATTGTAGATGAAATTTGATTCAGAGGGGCAGAGGAAAGGGAAAATGAAATGATGGAAGTTGCAGAGATGAACAGTATAAGTGTTAAGGACCCACAGTTGTTCCCTCAGTCTCAGTGTCACAGTCGCAGAGGAATCACGGACTGTCCTATCACTTTTGCATTGAGAAGAAACCTAACTTTTTTTTTTAATCTTATTGTAAAAAAAAATGTGGTGTATAATATATAGTTTTTTTTTGCCATAGCTTTAATTATGAATTAATCATTCCATAAAGGCATCTAACTTTGCAGAGATTCTCTCCCTTCTCTACAGTCTCATCAGCTACCCGTAGCCGTCGGTGCAACAATCCCATCACCTTCCTTTTTACCTTGTTCAACTTGTTTTTCCTTTTCCCCTTTTTGGATTTTGGTTCCAAATCATGCCATTCTACTCGAGCTTTTAGAGGAGGGGTACAATGTACAACTTTAAATGGCAAAATTTGACCAATTATTGGATTCCATTGCTTTTGTTTTCATGTAATTTCAAATCCCAACAAGGGTTGATTTAAGATGTGTATGATGTGATCCTATTAGTCGATTTTATGGTCAAATGTTGTGGTTCATCGTTTTGAAATTGGTGAAACAATAATTGAAGGGGGAGAAAAAGGAAATCTTCTTAGTGTTAGTGTGATGGTTGTGGATAAATGAGTGTGTTCAACAAAAGAGATTAATTAGGAAATTACATAAAGATGTCGAAGGAGTAGGAGATTCATGTATATAGAAGATTTAGGAACCTAAAATGGCATGTGAAAGACTAATGGGAAAAAACAAGATGGTATAATTGGTACTAATTGGTTTCGGGATAGACATTCTTAAATAATGTTGTTGATATGATAAACAATAAAATAGTCATGCACTCATCTACTCTTAGCTGACAGTGAGAGCTTGTTTCTATCTAGTACGCCAAATATAATAGATCTCCTCCTCTTGAACAAAGCTACACATTTATTTCTATCAGTTTACTTGACTGTGTGATAGGCTTCATATCCATCTATTCCGACTTGATATGGCTTGTCTTGCTCGTCACTCGAGTACAGAACATGTTTTAAATCTCATGACTTTGCTTTTGATTTCATCAAAAAGGTCTCATACTAATGAAGATGATTATCCTCATCTATACACCATAGATCAATATTCTTCCCTAACCAGTGTAAGATTTCACTTCCATAACTTGCAACCTCAACAAGACCGTGATACAAGATTTTTTATTTCCTATAAACTATCACGCAACAAATATGACTTGTCTAGTAAAAGAATTTAATTAACTTTCTTTTGAGTTTCATATTTTCTCTCATAGAAAAAAAACACACACACTTCCCTATATGTTTTAGTGTTCCTAACTCCATATAAAGTATAGTTTGTTTTCTTGAACAAAAACTTGTTATAAACTACTAATCAAGAAGGTCCACTTCAAGAAATTTGAAGTCTTCTTCTGATTTTTTTTGTTTGGAAAAATATTGATCAAGGGCAGTGAGTTTCTGGAGAAGAGAGATGGGGCACCTAAATCTATGGCCAAGGCAGAGGCATCTTGAAGGGTACTGATGAGCAAGATAAAAGGGACTACACGTAACACTACGACTGCAACAGTAAGAGAGAGAAAAAAAAAGTTAAAAAAGAAAAAAAAAACATTAAAATATTCTCTATAGTCATCATGGTTTTTGGAGCTTTCTTTTTAAGCCCAAACGATACAAGCCACAGCCAAATATATCCATTCCTTTTTTTCTCTCTCTCTTTCAAAAACACTTAATTCTCACCTTCTTCTGCATTTCTTTTCTGGGTTTTTTGTTTACACTTTCCAACCCCTTCTTCTTGTCTTTCCCCACATCTCCCAAAAAAAAAAAATAATAATAATCTTTTTGATCTCTTGAATTTATATTTTTGGTTTAATTAATTAACTTTTAGCCTTTTTCCTACTGGCTACCTTCTCTATTATCTCTGTGTTTGTGTCTTAATTTGTTTGTAAGCTAATTTGCAGATGATGTCTGGTATTGACTTTTGTGCTGTTCCTTCTTCTGTTGGAGAGTTACAAAGCTCTCAGCTTTATCTTCCTCCCAATCCGAACCCGAATCCGAACCCTAACCCTAACCCTAATTCCGATTCTCAGCTCCTTCCTTCTCTCCCCAAGAAGAAGAGAAACTTGCCTGGAAAACCAGGTCGGTTTTGCCACATAACTTTTTATATACATAATCTTTAGACTGAGAGACAAATTCAAGTTTTACATGTTTTTCGTACTCTTTAACAATATATTTGAATTCTTAGTCAAATTTAAAAAACAGAAATAAATTTCTAAAACTAAACTTGTAATCCAACAAAGGGTTTAATATAATCTTTTTTTTTTATTGTGATTGTTGTATGAATATTTGACAGATCCAGATGCGGAGGTTATTGCTTTGTCTCCAAACACTCTCATGGCGACCAACAGATTCATCTGTGAGATATGCAACAAAGGATTCCAAAGGGACCAGAACTTGCAGCTCCACAGGAGAGGGCACAACCTGCCATGGAAGCTCCGGCAGAGAAGCAACAAAGAGGTGAAGAAGAAGGTGTATATTTGCCCCGAGAAGTCGTGCGTCCACCACGACGCAGCGAGAGCGCTCGGGGACCTCACCGGAATAAAGAAGCACTTCAGCAGGAAGCACGGGGAAAAGAAGTGGAAGTGTGACAAGTGCTCTAAGAAATATGCTGTTCAATCCGACTGGAAAGCTCACTCCAAGACTTGTGGAACTCGAGAGTACAAGTGTGACTGTGGAACACTCTTTTCCAGGTCTCTCTCTCTTTTTACTTTTATCATCTGTTGTTTGTTTTCCATACCAAGCCTAGATTTTTGTTCTTTTATATGTTACTTTCCAAGGTATTTATTGTTCATCTTGAGTTCAAAATTTATGGTCACCCAAATAATTAGAAGGTGAGTAATAAATCCCTTGAAAATGAATCACAAAGTTTAACTAGTAATTATCAAGCCAATATGAGCTTAGTTTAGTGGTAATCGATACATATCTTTGATCAAGAAATCATGAGTTCAAATTCTCCAATCCCACTTAGCTTGTTGTACACAAGAAAATGAGTAATTATCAATATGAACGARGAAGAAAATAGTAATATAGGATTTTAAATTACTTTACCGCTGAATTAGAAAGAAAATGGCATTACAAAGGTTCATACATGAGACTCGGTTGATTATGATACCGACCACCCTACTTCTGTTAGGTCGGTTTTGGTCAATTGGCTTGGTTTTTCGGTTGTATTTGCTCACCCCAACCATATACTACCACTAAAATACAAAAAAAGGTGTAAAGAAAGTAATTTAATTGTGTCTTTATTCGTGATCTTAACCATGATATCTCTGTTTTTTTTCACAGGAAAGATAGCTTCATAACTCATAGAGCATTCTGCGATGCTTTGGCTGAAGAAAGTGCGAGGCTGATTTCATCAGTTGCAGCAGCAAATTTAAAACCCAATTTCAGTGGGAATAATTCAATGAACAATTCCCATCACTTTGGCCTCCCCAATCCCAATCCCAATCCCAATCCCAATCCCAATTCCAATTCCAATTCCCAAGGTTCAAGTTTCCAACTTGGGCAAGGAGTATTTGTCGTGGGATCAGAAAATTTTGACCACTTCAATAATAATAACAATAATCTCCTCCCAACGGAACCACCTTCATTATCTGGCTTCCCATTCCCAACCCAAATTCCCTCCTCCAATAATCTCTTCGAAATCCCAAATCGAATATTGGGTTTTACCAACAAAAATGGCTCCAAAAGACACACCAACAATCAAGAGGCGAAGGAAGATGGTTACTTCTCATCCAGCTTCTTCGGCGGCGGCGGCGGGGGCCTGTCGGCGACGGCGCTGCTGCTGAAGGCGGCCCAATTGGGGTCCACAAGAAGCGACCCATTATCGTTCTCAGGGAGCAGCGTGGGAGTGATGATGAGTTCATCATCATCAGCTTCTAATAATAATAATAATAATTCGAAGAATGATAATAACCAAAGCAGAAGCGAGTTGCAGCAGCTGTTTGAGGGCTCCATTAATGGCGGATTGACGAGGGATTTTCTTGGGAGTACTGGCGATGATCATCACAAACAAATTGTTCCGCAGATGGTTCCATTAATGGACCTCACCAAGTTTGCTAACTCCAATATGAATTCGGATCCAATCGGGTCCACCCAATTCATTGCCAATGATCGAACCAGATAATTCAAAACTTTTTTCATTTTAGATATGTTGTGTTGTGTGTGTATATCAATATCAGAATTTTAATCGGAAATTATGCTGGGGAAAGTGTTCATATTGTTAATTTAATTGTATAATTATAAAGTTTTGGCAGGAAACTAATTTGTTGAAATTTATTATAATGGACACTTTTTCTACTTTTTCTTGCTTGTAATCAAAAGATCATGAATTCTAATATTCTACTTTCCCTTGTTGTACTAATTTTTTTTTTTTGTTAAAATTTTCTGACCATGGAAGGTGGCCAACTTAAATTAAACATTGCATTAGCTTAGCTAATCCTACTCTCCATTTCAAAAATGTTTAAAATCCAAACACTCTCATACTGTATCTTGAATATATAATTAGGATAAGAATAATACTTAGTACTTATTTGTCCAACGCTATCATCAATAAAATTTTGATAGCTTTTTAGTTTTTTTAAAAATAGAAAAATATCTCTATTTTTCTTTTCTACTTTCAGTTTTTACCTTCTTATGATGGTAAGTAAAAGAATAGGTGCTTACCATAAGCATCTAAATTATTATTTTTCTTCATTGGACCTTAATCTATTACCATAAAACCTAGCACTCATAGTCTTAGACTAGCTAGGGTTGTTTTGTTCCAAAGAAAAGAAAGAAAACAAAAAGCTAGCATCATTTTGACTTGACAATGAATTTTATTGTTAGTTTCTATTTGAAAAAAACAAACTTTACGTATCAGTAATTTTGAAAACACTCTTAAGTTTTAACCAAACTTAGACTCGAGACTTTATTTTTTCCCTTTTTTTGAAAACTATGATAATGTTTATATGTCAATTATTGTTGAGTTTTGCTCGCTTCGACAACCTTGATCATGTCTAATAATGATATTGTTTGCTTTTGTCTAATTATAAACTACATCATACAATTCTAAATTTTGCGCTAGCTTAAAATACAATACTATCTTTTACTCCATTAAATAAATACACTTTCCTAAACAGATTTGAAAATTTCAATTTAAATACTTACTTTTACCATAAACATGTTAAATTCAATTGAGAAATGGGAATCATGTGTAAAAAGAGGGTGAAGAAAAATTGAAAATCTACACTCCTCGAAAATTTGGAAAATGTGAATAAATATCTGGAGAAAAAATGAAATTATTATTATTATTAAATTTTTTAAGAGAAAAAATTGAAATTATTGATATTATATGAAATATAGAAATAAAGATTGGCATGTTAATTACTGTGAAATATTGTGCGGGAGAATAGGAATAGGCCCAGGAATTATGAAGACATGGCAGAACTCTACGGACTATTTGGACTCCTCTTCTCTGAAACTTCTGAAAAATTCAACTATTTTTATTTATTTATTTTTTTACTACAACACGTTTGAGAGGGAATTCAAACTCAGAACTTCTTGACTGAACGGCACAAATAGATTTAAATTAACGCTGCTGTATAATATTCTTGTGGTGGTGCCCCAAAATTTTATTGAGTTATTTAAATATTAAAATATAAGTGAGAAATAAGAACTCGAAATTGGGCCGTAAGGTATAAAAGCAAACAAATTGGGCCGTTCATCAGCCCAATATAAATCAATGCGGCCCAATATAAATAGTGGGCTCGAACAAGTATGCCGATGGGTATGTCTCGGTGACGTGGCGACTGCAGATAGGCTCGATTCCCATCAGCGGCCCACGAAGCACAGAATGAAATTTACTACTCGGTCGATGCTGGACTAATTTCCACGTGTAACCGAGCCATTGGACATAAATACGTGGAATGACTAGTTTTATTAGTTTAATTATAAGAAAAAAAACCACATTTCCATTTTGATGAATTTACATATTGTTGTTCTGTTCATGAAACTTGGAACTTGAAGAAACAATGCTGAGATTTTCGATTCCGCCTTCCGCCATGGACGCTTCAGCTTGGCGAGGATTGGCGTGCACCGCGTTTCTTCTCAACTTCGTCCTCGTCTGTCAGCTTCTTCTCCTTCAACCTTTGGTTTCGGCTTCAGGTTCGTTAGTTTACTCTCTGATCTATCCATCCGAGCTTCGCTTGGAATTAATCTGGCTGGAGTTTCTAATTTTGCAGTCCGGTTTGTTACCTTCGATTAGATACCTAGATCTAGTTCTGTATTGTGCGATATATTGTTTTGGTTCTTTACTTCTTTATTTGTTCACGTGTTAATAATTCCAATGCTGATTACGATAATTGAGGCAGTTTTAATGTTTTGGAAATTCTATTTGCCTTATACTTTCGTGTTATCTGCAAATTTTTTGTTCCCACATTTCGTGGCTAGAACTAGGATATCAGTGTTGAGTTTTGGTATTATTTTTGCAGTTGTCCTTCCGCTGCTATGTGATTTTATGCTGCTGTTTTAAATTTGGTCGCTTATTCCAGCTCCTTCCTAGAATCTTAAATATTGGCAACGAAATTTAAATATCATAACTCTTCATGGTGTAAAATCTGAAATTGAACCTGGAGGGGTTAAAGCCATCTGAAGGAGTACCTTCTCACAAGGTCTTAGGTTTAAATCTTGTCCGATGTAAATTCTTGAGATCATTTCCTTTAAGGGTTCAATAAGTTTTCTATGATAGAGCAGAAATCACCTAGGATTAATTGTTGTAAGCAACCTGAACACCCAAGCTTCAGAAAGAAGCCCTCTTTGGTATCAACATTGTAGTTGTATGAGGCTGTGGAATCTCCCTCTTGCATCGTCAGATGATGTTCCCTTATATAGGTCTATTTGAGGTATCTGAATTGGATCGTTTGATGCATATAAAGTCAAAATCTGTCTTACCTCTACTAGTCTTGTGAATGTTTCTCTTTCATTTAATGATCTAAATGCCTTTAGCTCCATTAAATGGAAGAGAAGAAATAATTATTAATTATACATGATTACCAAACTCATCTTTAATAATTAGTATTAGGAATTGCTCTTTTTGTAAATGGAGGGAAGGGCTTACACCTGTAACAATATGGTAAATTAGATCCAACATGTGCATGAGAATTGTGAAATTTTCTGAAAAAACGTAAAAGTGCTCCAATAGGATGCTGCATTTCGTTTCTGCATTAGCTACCTGATACAAGCCGCAAGGCTCTCTCTAAGAAATTGGAACTTGCCCTTTTATTTGTTTTCTTCTTCATCTTTTTCCCCTCTCCTCTTCTTTGCTGCCCATCTGGGGTTTGCACTTGTTGTTCGCATCGTCAATTTCATCTTGTAATGGATCGGCTTATATCTCCAGATGGAAAGTTGGGTAACTCTGCTGAGTTGTTTGAGAAAGTTTCACGAAATGTAAAGGTGAAACGTTATAGTGAGGCACTTGATGATCTTAACGCTGCTATCGAGGCAGACCCAAAACTTTCAGAAGCATATCTCCATCGTGGTTCAATTCTTCGGCAGTTATGCAGGTTTTTCCCCTCTTGTTAATTTATTGAATTTCATTGCAATTATGCATCGAGTTGAGAGACACAGTAAAATTTTGACACGGCAAGTTACTATCTTTAGGAATTTTTAGGATTAGAAAGTAGAAATTTGGGCTCGTCTCTGAAGTTCTGAACTAGAAATATGATTTGATTTGACATATATCTGATGAATGGGGATGTTGCCTGCTATTTCTGAGGTAGATAAATGTATCCATTATTTTCCGTCATTTCTTCTCCCTTTTCGTTATAAACCTCGGTTGTTGTAAAAACTTTCTTATATTCTTTATAATAAAAGTATGTTATAAATAATAAAGAGGAAAAGGAGGCCTCCTCTTGAGGAAATATACAAATAAAAGAGCTTACTTTTCAGACCAATAATGAATCAAGAATTTAACTCTACTTTCCTACCAAATAGCTAATATAGAGTTTTCATGACATCCTTTTCTTTTGTTAACCTTGGCTCATGATATCCTCACTAAACAAATAGTACACATTCCTAGAGAAGGTTTGACATACTTCAAACAAAAATAATATTTGAGACTGAAAATATTGTAAAGGAAATTTAAACTATCGTGACATGTAGAAAACCTTGCTCTCACCCTCTACCTTCCATCTGATTGGACGATTATATGATTCAGGAACTTTTTGGCTGATGTAGATATGATGAATCAGAGAAGAACTACAAGAAGTATCTGGAGTTAAAACCTGAAAATTCAGCTGGTGAAAAGGAGCTTTCTCAATTGCTTCAGGCTCAGAGTGCTTTAGATACGGCCCTTAAGCTTTTTGATTCGGGAGATTACACAAAATCATTGGAATTTTTGGATAAAGTTGTACTTGTTTTTTCTCCAGCATGCTCTGAGGTGATACCATCTTTTATCTAATTCAACTTTTTACTATTTTTAATTGTACTCTAGAATTTCTACTTATCGTGCAAATTAACTTGATGTAGGCCAAATTACTGAAGGTCAAATTGTTTTTGGCAAATAAGGACTATTCTGCTGCCATTTCTGAGACTGTACATATTCTTAAAGAAGATGAAAGCAATCTGGAAGCATTATTGCTTCGTGGGCGTGCCTACTACTATCTGGCAGATCATGATGTTGCCTCAAGGTTGATTTGACAGTACATATTCTTGAAAGCATTACTTATTATGACATGGACAGGTTTTTACGCATGAACAATTTTTTCAGGCATTTTCAGAAGGGTCTTCGCCTAGATCCAGAGCATGGTGAACTGAAGAAAGCGTATTTTGGATTGAAGAATCTGCTCAAGAAGACCAAGAGTGTAAGCCCAAGCAACATGAAGAAATATGTTAAATCCTATTTTCTTGGATCTTCTATTTTGGGTTGGGAGGGGTTATTTCTTTAGACCCCTTTCTCTTGTCTGATAAAATGTACAAGTAAATGAAATTGATAATGTTATTCATCATGTCTTCATTTTAGTTCTTGTACTTCATTGACAGGCAGAAGATAATGTCAGTAAGGGTAAGCTGCGGTTAGCAGTGGAGGAATATAATGCAGCCCTTGCATTAGACCCCAATCATCTCGCACATAATGTACATCTTCATCTTGGCTTATGCAAGGTGCTGGTCAAGCTTGGTCGTGGAAAGGATGCTGTTACCAGTTGCAATGATGCACTAAACATTGATGGAGACCTTATTGAAGCTTTGGTCCAGGTTTGCTCCGCCAACCCAACACACACCCCACCCAAGCCCCCCCGCCCCTCCCTCTCTCTCTCTCGTCCTCCTGCTTCACTGGATGCTGTAATGCCCAGTGCATTTTGTTGCAAATTACTTTACTACTATTGCTCCCTTTATGCTTATCATTGATTTTCCATTTCTAGCCTCTATTTATTTCCTTAATGTGCGTGTATATATGCTTCTCTGACTCAACTTCAGTATGCTCGAGCCATTATGTTGGGACTATCATTATCATCTTCTTCCTTGCATCTAAGATCTTTATTGTTTCTGAGACGTTGAAAACCCGAACAGCAGTTAACCTCTTTCTCATTCTTACTCCAATTCAAATCATCTGCGTGTGACTGTCTTGGTAGTTGCTGTAATCTATATAATGAGAGTGACGAAAGTTTGTTAAAGAATGTTTAAGATCTCAAGTTCTTTAATGCTGGAAATTGTGTTTTTCAGAGAGGTGAAGCAAAGCTTTTAACAGAGGACTGGGAGGGTGCTGTAGAAGATCTTAAGTCAGCAGCTCAAAGTTCACCACAGGTAAAGTCATCATTCAATTCTTTTTTCCCTTTTTTGTAGAAGGTTGACACTGAAAGGTTCTTGGCTCCTTATAAATATATATCTTATATTCATTAGATACAACTATATCATAAGTTACTTATTTCATTCATTTTTAAGTCCACGTAAAAACCTTTAATAAAATTTATTTTTTTCTTCTCTGTGTACATAAGTACTCCTATATTATGCTAAATATCTAGGTGCCTGTTAGACCTCCTATTAGGAATATTTATGTACGCAGGGGCAAAGGGGGTAATTCCCCCTCTTCTGACAATTAGGAGGTTGACTTGGGAAGGACCTTAGTTTTTGTCTTTTGTGTGTTCCTAGGTTGTGGGAGGGAGAATATATGTTTTGGGGCTGCCAAGGTTAGGGGCATGCTTTTGTTTTGTACTCTGTGAGAGATACTAGTCGGGAGAGTGCAACCCTCTCGAACGGTTTCTTGTTTCTGTGTTTTGTTATCAATCTAAGCATCTAAACTGTGAGGGAGTTACTTCACAGTACCCAAGCAGCGTTCTTACTTATGTAAGTTGCAGATAGAACTATTTTTAAAAATTTTATTTGTTTTAATAACTCCGATTTAGATAGAATCAATGTCATTTGTTTGGCATATTTGATGTAACATAAAAAGGCTATTTTTATATTATTAATGATTAGTCTAATCAAAATTTTGTTTTATGTAATAAGTTTAAAAGTTTTATTTTTGTTTTTATTTTTAATGAGGGAACTAAGTTATGTATTAGATTAAAACATGGGATAAGTTTACTAGGATAACTTTAGTTGATAGTGATTCATATTTAAAAGATATATATTTCATTGTAAGATGAACTAAAATTGGGAAAATTTAAATTCAATGCTGGTTTATCATCGTCACAGCTTATCATCAATTAATGTATTTAGTGATGTTTGCAGGATATGAATATTAGGGAGGCACTGATGAGGGCTGAAAAGGCTTTAAAAATGAGCAAAAGAAAGGATTGGTACAAAATTTTGGGGGTTTCAAAGACTGCTTCTGTTGCTGAGATCAAACGTGCCTATAAGAAGCTTGCTTTGCAATGGCATCCTGACAAAAATGTTGATAATAGAGAAGAAGCTGAAGCCAAGTTCCGCGATGTTGCTGCTGCATATGAGGTTTAACTTGAAATATCTCAATGTTGTTGGCTTGCCTTTTTACGTACCATTTGCTAGAATTGCTTTTATATCTTACGTGCAAAAATGGATTGTTTTGCTGCAAAATGTTGGTCTTTAAGACAGTGAAATACCCGAAACCCAACACGATAACATGTAGCTGAGTGGCACAAGTCTATGTCTTGCAGGTTCTCGGCAATGAAGACAAACGTACAAGATATGATAGAGGGGAAGACATTGAAGAGATGGGCATGGGTGGAGGAGGTGGTTTCAATCCTTTTGGCGGCGGAGGACAGCAATTTACATTTTCTTTTGAGGGCGGATTCCCTGGTGGATTTGGTGGCGGTGGTTTTGGTGGAGGCGGCTTTCCCGGTGGTGGTGGCTTTCCTGGTGGTGGTGGTGGTGGGTTTGAGTTCCATTTCTGATTTCAGCAACAGCATTGGGTCCTCTTTTTCTCTGATATCTTTATGGTGATTACAAAACATCGGCTTTAATGGGGATCAAAATATTTAATTGCTGAAAAGTAGAAATACCTTAGGTTACAGATAGAGGCCTTTTAGTTGAGGAAAATGTTCATTGAGCAAGTTTTTTCCATGCTAAAGCAAGAGTTGTAATACCTTAATGTATAAGCTTTCATTTACCATTGCTTAGATTGTCTTTTTTGCCACTTAACAAGTTTACTTTGAAGGTAAGTTCATCATCTTCTTCTTCATCTCTCTCTGCCTCTCTGAAATTGATAGCCCAAATATGGCTCACGATATTATTCAACTATGGGAATCAAAAGTTTGGTGAAGTATAGCTTTCCTTTGATCTTCATATTACTGAAGGTGAAGGGAATAGCCCATCTTCCGAAGTTGATGTTTTGTCTCGAAGGTTGTTGAGATCTCTTTTCTGATCTTTGTATTTTTGTAAGCTATCATAAGTGGAAAGTAGGTGAGGTATCACTAAACTTCCTCGTGCTATTTCTATACGGAAAAAGCAATGGAGAGTAATTCCTTCTTCTGTGGATGTAAATGGGAGAGAAGTAAATGGTCTCCTTGTCTCATTTCTCTTCAAATAATTGGTATCTAGTTAAAATATTCACGTTAATTAGACCTAATTTTGATAAAATCATACGAATATAGAGATCGTGAGTAGTTCTAACAAGTACAATCGTAGTTTCAGTAATGGAGATCCAAATCTATAGATGTCAACTTTTTATATTCGGATTTCAAAAAGAATTAGCAAACCCCATCTTTAATGTTTGAACCATGATATGAAATGAGTTCCATAAAACAAGCATAAATCCAATTTTTAAAATAACTAAAATAATAATAAATAAAACAAGTGGTAAGCACGTAATATGTGGATGACTAACCCGAGGTACTATCTTATTATGAGTTAGTATATTATTATGCGCAGTATCTCATTGGACAACCACTATGTCTATGTTCTTTCGTGTCGAAAGTATGTATCCACTTACAAACTTATAATAATAACAGAACTCTTTTTTTGTGAAGTTTATAATCTTTATCGAGAAAAGGAGTTTATGGATGCTTTAACACTCTCTCACTGGTAGGCTTAGAAATTTGCACAAAGTCAAACAAGTGGAAATCAATATTAAATACGGTGTAAATGACAATAAAAAGGTTCGAACATATAACTCACCATTTTTTTTTATAATAAACTCTGGAACCATTTTAAAGACTAAGGTTAGAGAGAATTAGATGATCCTATTATCATCTAAAGAATATATATAGAATACATATATAAGGTTGATCAAAGTAAAGAAGGTAAAAGGACGATAAATGATAAATTAATACATCGTTACGATAATATAAATACTCTCACATAACTAACGTCTAATTCTCATCGGTACGTATTGAGAAGTTTACTTTTGATCTTTGCCAACTATAGAAGGAAAAAACTTACCATACTTAGTAAAGATTGATTCTAGAAGGTGATATCACATCAATACTTTGTTTTTCTTATTACACTCTCACATAAATTAAATTAAGGTAGATAAAGAAGAAATAGGTAAAGTGAGATTTTTTAAGTTGCGATAGATATGAAATGTTTCTATGATAATACCCTAGAGAATTTTTATTGAAGTGTCCAATCGATTATTTTAAACTAAGTCAACATGAACATAACTTAACTACAATTGACAACTACTCTTTTTCTCGAGATTAGAGGTTCAAATACTCGTACTCTAATTTATTGTACTAAAAAAACACTATGAAACTCTAAATGACAATTGGTTGTGGTAATTTTTTTCTTTTTTTTTTTTTGATAAAGTCTACTAT